CCCCAAAACCCCAAAACCCCAAAACCCCATGTGGTTGGATTTTATCGGTTTTACATGTGAAAGTAAGAATTGAACTTTATATAAATGAATCATATATTATTATTTTTGTGATAAGGTAAGTCAGTCTAAGTAGTACTTGATTCTGGATAAATTTTTAGAAAGTTATCTAATTTGTCGTGGAATACTAATTAGATTATACTTGGTATCCAAAAGGTGCAATACTCTTTATTGATCTATTTGCTTTTTGTCATATATCTTAGACGAGCTAGGGTAAGCGTCTGGGACTGTCTATTTATGACAGTATTATAATGACTGACCTAAAATATTTTATCCATTTGAGATCATTCAAACTGATGGATTGATAAAGTTTGTAGCTCCTAAACCAAGCTCTTAGTATATCACTTAGTTTTGTGCTTGATTCAAGGCCACTAATTTAACTTCAATCAGATTAGGGGCTGAAATCTGCATTATTTGTTGTGAAAATAACTAGCAACTATCATCTGACTTTCCATAGTCAAATAATTTATTTAAACTTTTAAACTTCCTACTTTTGCAAAGAAAGATTTGAAATTAAACTTTCTTAGTATTATTTCTGACTTTACTTTTCTTGCAGAGTCTGTTCCAACAATAACAACAACAAATTAGAAACACAAAAGAGCCAAAAATTGAAGCAATAACTTGCTTTTAAGATGATAAGATAACCATCTCTGTATTTAAGTATGCATTTGTTAATTATTCTGTGTTTTAGGGGTTTGCTTGCATAATTTTGTTTAATTGAGATTTTGTTCTTGATACTTTATCTGATTTTGTTTCGTTAATGAGTTTTATCTAGCTTTAGGTGGTAAATTAGTTTAAAGAAAGATCCCTTGATGCTTTAAGATAGCTTTTTATTTTATCAATACCTTAAGTGGATTTTTTGTTCATTTAAATGCCTTCTAAGTTTCTCTAATTTGTCTCATTTTTTTTCTCCCTTAAAGCAGGGGGAGATTTCCGAACTTCAATCCTCTAAATTAAATCAAGAGATAGAAGGTATTGCTGCTATTCTTGAGCTATTGTTTATACTGTATAGGTCAAAAAGATAAAGCAAATCCACAAAAAGCAAGATTTATTTTTGCCAAGTAATTTCATGGTTTATCTATTACAATTTAAACTTTTAATGAGTTTAGATATGTCTATTATAATATTTATCGAATGATTACCACAGAAAATATTTAATGAGTGTTACAATTCCCACTTAATCTTTAAGATGATAGATTCTTGGGGTTTTGGGGTTTTGGGGTTTTGGGGTTTTGGG